AAAAAAAAAACTAAAACTGAGAATGTGTGCAGACAGTGGTCTGCGACTCCTCTGCAACGCTGGCAGCAGGCAGGAGCACGCACGGGCAGTGCGAGCAGACGCACCGATGCGCCGAGAGAGCACGGCGCACGGGCAGGCGCACAGACCGCGGGGGTGCACTCACCCGGCTGTCCGCAAGGACGTCACAGCTGGCGCACCGGCAGTACACAACTGGCCAGCTTGCCCAGACGTGCTAGGGGCGCGCGGTGCCGGGGTGCGTCGTTCGCCGGGTTTGGCGTAGCGGTGAAATTGATCTATCTATCGTGCTTGTGGTGATTTGCATCTGAATTAGGGTGCGGAAAATGTATGCGACTTAATGGACCGCAACATTCTTACAATCAGGTGATCGATTTTTCTTTTCGTTATCATTTTTCATATCAAAAAGTCCTCCATACACTATTTTCTGCGAAATTTTTTGATATATTCCACCTCCAAAATTTATCACATGGAAAACGTGCGCGAACAACTAATGTAGAAATTGAACTTTTTCGAGTTGTGGTGTGCATAACTTTCCATCAGTGATTAAATGACATACTTTCAGCGTGGTACAGTTGTAAGTCGGGCATAGTGCAGTATGTGCTGCAAATAGTGCTGCTGTCGTGCTGAAAGTCGAGTGTTCCGATCTATCAATGCGACTTCAATTCGTTCATTCGTTTCGATGGTAAATTGGTACAGGCATATGCTGGGGAGGCAAACTCGCCATCAACTCGCTTGTAAGCAACTCTCGAAAGAAGGAGCCATCGACAGCCTTGTCAACATTTGGTTGCTATTGGCAAATACTGCCACTTGGACTACTTTCGAGTGTCTCCGCCTTTCATAGGAGGTGAGTTTTTTTACGGAGAAGTTTCTGGAAATTGATTATTTGTAAAGTTCTGTCGATCACGAATTAAGTTAGCGAATCAGCGGTGGTGGGATTTTGTCAAACTGTGATGTTGCTGAATTCTTACGGGTTTTTTTTCCTTCCATGACTAACTTTCCTGTTTCCCTCGCTTTCCTCTGTACGCCCCTCTTTTTTGGAGGAAGTGAACTTCGTCAGAGAGTGGGGAGATGCGCAGTAATGATTCACAGCTGTGGCTCATGCTTGCACAGGCGAAGGTCATGGGTTGCCTATCGAGTGTAGAACACCAAGGGGCGATTGTCCATTTTAAATACATCACACACACAAACACACACACACACACACTCATATACACACACACACATATACACACTACATACATACCTGCATTCATTTCTACGTATGACCTGAGCAATTTTACAAACTGACATTCGTTAAAATTAGCCGCCTGTTGGCGAAGGAAAATCCTAGCAATGTGGGCTGAATCTAGGAAATTTCAGAACGAAACAACATACCTTTTTCATCCATTATTTAATACTTCTTTTTTTAGGGAGGTTTTGATGTAGCAGTAACAAATACGGTACAGGTTTAACAGAGCAGACAATCAATGCGATAAGGGATCCGCTCGAACGACTATACGGTATTTTTTTATGGATGAGAAAAGCCTAAAACAGAGAAGAATGGAGAAGTTGCCAGCTGTATCACAATGAAGCAATAGCTGTTTGAAGAAATACCAAAAGTAATTCATGCCCTGAAAATAGCTATGAATTTAT